CTGTCTGTCTTACTTTTTCCCAGCACTAAATGACCATTGTTGTGTCGATGTGCTTCTCTTTACTCAAACAAACAGACAAAAACGAACTTGGGTCTCCTGTGTGGGACGATGAATACCCTAAAAGCTACACCACAGACACATCTCTCGGAAGCGACGATTCGACATCGGAGCGAGACAATTTTTTATTCCCAGTGGACATTGATTGATAGATTTAATTCAGTCTGGGTCAGAAGGGTTTCCCGTCATGATTTGACCGAATTCAATGAATTCGTCTGTGGCCTTCAAAACCAAACGTGTTTGTTTTTCAAGGCCGCGAGTCGAATCGGCTGTCCTTTGCTAAAATGTATGCTTTTACTCCCTAGAAAATCTGGCTGGCTTCGACTCGAGTCGATGGATCTGACCGGCAGTGTCCACTGGGTTTATTTTTTAGCTTTAGTAAGTCTTTTTACGGCACTTGCAACACAATAAGGTCATATAAGTGCCGAAGATTGGAGGCGTTACAAGAGAGTAACAGACATAAAAAAGAAGGAGGGTAGATAAAGACGATAGATGTTTGATAGAAAAGAAGGAGCAAGCCACACCAGAGCACCCGACAACCACCCACGTCTCTTGTGTGGGACAGCGAAGAACCTAACTACTACACCACAGACACCTCTGTTGGAAGCGACGACTCGACATCGGAGCGAGACTATTTTTAGTCCCAGTGGACATTGATTGATAGATTAAATTCAGTCTGAGTCAGAAGGGTTTTCCGTCATGAATAAGGTAAAATCTGCCATTTTTGTGTGTGCATAATTTGACCGAATTCAAGTGAGTTCGTCTGTGGCCTTCGAAAGCAAACGCGTTTGTTTTTCAAGGCCGCGAGTCGAATCGGTTATATTTTACTGAAATAGTAGCTTTTATTCCTCCATGAAGGAAAATCTGGTTAGATTCGACTCAATCCAATGGATCTGATTGGAAGTGTTCATTGGGCATACGACATAACGTATATGACCGACATAACACATTTGAGAGGGTAATGTTCGAAATAATATATATAATATGACCTACGTAACACTAAATTATCAAGAAGAAGAAGACGAAGAAGAAGAAGAAGAAGAAGAAGAAGAAGAAGAAGAAGAAGAAGAAGAAGA